CCCCAACCCTCACCTCTGGGTTGCACTCACCAATTTAGTGTTTCCTGACCTGACCCAGAGTTTTGTCATGTTTGACCTTTCTGAATGCTGGGCTGCATTCCCCAGATGGGGCCTCAGGGATTTCAATACAGAAAGTGTTAATTCCCAAACTTTCCTCCCTACTTCAATGTTGTTGGGATTACTGGTCACCATTTCCATACACTCACTATAAGGACCAGCCATAAAGCAGGACCAGGGCCCTCAGCACTGGCTGCATCGAATCCCCGTCTTTTTCCCACCCCCAGAAGCTTCCTGTGGCCTCGGAATACCAAGTTCTTCACAGATCCCACACACCTCAGTGTTATTGTCCTAAAATATAACTCTGTGGTTCTAGTACTCATCAGGAACTTTCAGATATTGCCTACAGACTATAAGAGAAAATCCAACTTCTTTAGCCTTCCAGCACTCCAAGCTCATCTATCAATGTTGTCATCCCCATGCTGTGCTTTGGCTAAACCTATAGGCAATTTTCAGACCTCCCTGCCTCTGCTCTGCTATGTCTGCTGCTTGGTTTACCCTCACTTCCCTTTTCTTCCTACAAAAAGCCAACTCATTCTTTTATTCTCAAATGCCATCTCTTTCTTGAAATTTCTCCAGTCTTTTCAATGAAAATCGATATCTTCAGACTTAAACTTCTAATTTAACACCCATTTCATCTGATCTGTTACTGTGATTAGTACCACAGTGACCATCTCCTCTGATTATAAATTCCTTTGGAGTAGGGATCTGGTCCTTTGGTGGTACATGTTCCTTGCCTGTGGAATGCATGTGTGAGCATGTTGTGTTTTCAAGAAGAAGTAAGGTACTTCCGTCATATACATTCTTATATCTGGACATGTCATAGGAAACTGATTTGATTGATTACCAACTTTCTCTATCTAATCCCTACATTTTCCTCAGTGCTTCTCAGTAATTCTTTTTATCTTAATGATTCTTTCTTATATTCACTATGACATTTCTTCCACATTTTTGTCACATTCCGAAACCAACTTTTTCCTTTATCCACATATCCAAGGAAATGTAGACATAGCCTATTACTTATATACTAGTGGCCTGGTGCATGAAATTCATGCACATTAAAAGAGAATTAATGATAAGAAATATTTTAATATTGCTATTTGCCCTTTGTCTATAATAGAGGTGCCAGAGATGAAAGATAATTAGTAAAATGGATATAAAATCTCCTGCCTTTCAGAGGCTGAGGTGCGCCTCGGGACCTAGAGTCAAGTCCCCGCCCACCATCCTCACGCACTTCGAAAACACAGGAGACCCAGACCTGGCCGGCTCCACCCCCATTGGGTGAGACCTAGACCCGGCCTTCCCTACTCCCATAAGCCCCTCCGGGCAGTAGGCACAGCCTCAGGTCCCCCGGCCTGGCGCTGGGCTGAGGGTGCTGCCTGTTGCCTGTCAAGCCCTGCCTGGCTGGGGCCATGGCCTGAGGTCCCCCGTCAAGCCCCGCCAGGTGAGGGTCATGGCCTGAGGTCCCTGTGAAGCCCCTTTGGGCGTGGGTGCGGCCTGAGGTCCCCCGGCCTGGCACTGGGGCAGGGAGGCACAGTCTGAGGTCTCCCGGCCTGGCATTGGAGTTGGGGGCATGGTTTGAGGTCTCCCGGCCCAGAGCTGGGGAAGGGGCCCTGTCAAGCCACACCGGGCAAGGGGCTCAGCCTGAGTTCCCCCGTCAAGACCCGCTAGGCGGGGGGCACAGCATGAGTTCTCCCGTCCTGGCACTGGGCTGGGGTGCAGTCTGAGGTCTCCTGGCCCTGAGACGGGGCAGAGGTCCCCCATCAAGCCCCACCAGGAGAGGGGCATGGCCTGAGTTACCCCGTCAAGACCCACTGGGAGAGGGTTGCGGCCTGAGGTACCCCGTCAAGCCCTGCAGGCAGGGGGTACGGCCTGAGGTCCCCAGCCCAGTGCCAGGGTGGGGTCACAGTCTGAGGCATGCAAATCCGGCACCAGGGTGGGGAGCACAGTCTGAGGTCTCCCAGCCCAGAGCTGGGGCAGGGGGGGGTGGCATGAGGTCCCCCATCAAGCGATGCAGGGTGGGGGCCGTGGCTTTAAGTCCCCCATCAAGCCCAACCCCCCTGCAGCATCATTCCAGTGCTGACCAGGGATCATGCAGGCAGCGTGATGTTAGCACTGGGGGTGGAATTCCTGCTCCTGGCCCTGGTCACAGACTGGGACACCTTAATGGAGAAATTAGCATATTACCTCTTTATTATATAGACTAAAATCCCAGTGTATGAATTTTGTGCATGGGTAGGGTCCCTAGCAGTGACTGGCCGCTGACCAGGGCCTTCCTTCGTTCTGCACTGCCTCCTGGTGGTCAGCACATGTCAGAGCAAGCAATGGAACTCCCAGTTGGTCAAACTCCCGAGGGGACACTTTGCATATTAGGCTTTTATCTATATAGATACTGTGTGTATGTGTTTCTCTTCTACTAGCAAAATATTTTAAAATCTTACTCCAGCTTACTTTTTATTCTTCAGCTTCAGAATAATAAAACTCTCCTTCTTTATAAACTTTATTTATTCAAATAATACTAGAACAACAGGAAAGTTGTAAAAATAATCTAGAGTTCACATATGTCATATACCCAGCAAGCCTCCTCTATGTTATTTTACAGAATTAGTATCATTATCAAACTAGAACATTATTATTTGTCCAATGTTCTTAACAATACTACAGCCCTTATTTGAATTTTACAACACTGCCTACTATTCTTTTTCTGTTCCATGACTCAATTCAAAAATCTCACTTGGCATATAGTAGTTGTGCTTCCTTGTGTTATGTTCTTCAATATCAATCTTTTCTAATCTGTGATCGTTTATCAGTCTTTCCACACACATCAAGACCTTCACACATTTTCTGAGACAGGTATTTTATACAGTCACTCTCAGTTTGGGTTTGTCTGTTATTTTTTCATAGTTTCATTGAAGTTATGCGTTTTTAAACAAGAGTTTTAAGAAATATATTTTATTGATCTATTACATAGAGGAACGGGGAGGGATAGAGAGTTAGAAACATCAATGAGAGAGAAACATTGATCAGCTGCTTCTTGCACACCCCCTACTGGGGATGTGCCTGCAACCAAGGTACATGCCCTTGACCAGATTCGAACCTGGGACCTTTCAGTCGGCAGGCCGATGCTCTATCCACTGAGCCAAACCGGTTAGGGCGAGGTTATGCATTTTTGGCAGTGACACCATATGTGATGTTGAAAGCTTTTCCTCTAAAATCAGGAAGACAAGGATGCTCACTCTCACCATTTTATTCAACATAGTATTATAGGTCCCAGTCAGAACATTTATGCAAGAGCAGATGACATGATTGTTCATATAGGAAACTCTAGATACTCCACCCCCAAAAAATGTTAGAATTAATAAATAAATTTAGTAAAGTTGCAGGATATAGAATCAATATAAAAAAATCACTTGCATTTCTTTATGATATCAATGGACTACCAGGAAGAGAAATTAAGGAAACAGCCCCATTTACAATTGAATCAGAAGGAATAAAAAACGTAGGAATAAATTTAACCACGGAGATGGAAGTCCTGTACACTGAAAACTATAAGATATTGACTAGAGAAGTGATACAAACTAATTCTATCATTACTTATTCTGTTGCACAAATTGTTTCAGTTTGGAGTATTAGGAACTTTTCAGGTTGGCTGCTTGGTGTTTCAACATGGCCTCCTCATTTTTTTGAGCACTTCCTTATTTTCTGGTACCATAATATATTCCGTTCTTCTGGTATTTTTCTCTGCCTTGTCCCCAAAATCAATGACTTCTCCAAGGAGAATTGTTTATTTTATTGTAGGTCAGTATTTAGAAATACTGAGATCTGGTGCCTGTACTAGACATGGGAGCCAACCTGGGAAGTTATATTACCAGAAATCTTGTTTAGAATATCAGAAAAGACTTCACAGCAAAATCACATTTAAGATGACACTTGAAGAATAAGTGAGTGTTATTAGAAAAGAAGAGG